GTGTTTACTGTTCCTTTAATGGTACACAGTTCCTGAATGTACACATAAATAACAATTTACATATTGTACAACTTCATAGAAATGGAATCAGAGTTTGCAATTTGTGTTATTGTTTCTGTCATTTATTCATATTGAAAATACATAATTCATCTTAAAATACTAGATGGCAATTGTTTGAATGACAATAATACGCAATCACTTTTCCATCGTTTTGTGGATGGATGTTTAGGTTGCTTCTGTGTTTTTGCTACAATCAATACACAGTGATAAACTTTCATGCAATTACCTCTTTGTTATAGGTATATGAGTTTTTTCCTGGGACATACACATTGGAATAGGATTGATGTGGTCACACCTTCAGCCTTACTACAGTAAGAGAAGTCTCCAAAGGGTTGGTACAAATTTGTGTCCCCAAAGCAGTGTGCAAGAGCTAATTCCTGTGCGATGCTGACCAGACCCATGAACCCCACTTCTTTATGCCATGACAATACCCCTCTTCAAACACCACCAGTCTTCCTGACCCAGATTATCTAAGAGGATGAGACGTGAAAGGAACAACCTTTGAGGACATCTGAGTTTGGAAACCAGTACTATGTGGGCTTTGAAATCTGAAGGGCTTGAATCCTGGCTCTGACATTTATGATTTTTGTGTCTTTCTGCAAGGAAGTTTGCCTCTCTGTGCCTTGGTTTTTGATTATGTCAAGTGGGGATGGTTATCCAAAGAATGAGATGAACTTAGTGTACACTCAACGCAATGTGTGACCTGTTCCATAGTGAGTGCTCAATATGTGATAGCCATGCTACTATTATTTCCTAGTCATTACCATCTTCATCCTTGAGGATTCCTTTCTCAGCTAAAAAGCTCACATTTTAAAATATATTTTTTTCTATGCTGAACAAACTGCATGAATTAAGCAACATTTAATTCTTTATTTCATTTTTAGCTATCACAGCCATATGTGACTGCTAACCAGCTCTGACTAGCAGACGGGAACAGTGTTGATGCACTGAGTTGATATAATTCCAGCCTCAAACAAGGGAACTTGGTTTTCAGTTAGCTAGTGTGGCTTCATCACATAGAATTGTGCAGCTTCCATCCAGTTTTTAGAAATGTCGTCTCTAACCAGTGACAATCCATGGTGACCTCTAGGTTGAAATCCTAACCTAGTCCTATCATGATGTTTCACAGATGGGAAAATGGATGCCCAAAGAAGAGCGGGAACTTTGAATTGTTCCTTCATGGAGACTGTCACCCACATGGTGGCCAGGTCTGATATTAGTTCATATATATGACGAATTGGAATAGGAGTATCTGGTTATCTATTGCTGTAAAAGATTTCTCTAATTTCAGTGGATTAAAACAACTATTTATCATCTTTCATCATATTTCTGTGGGTTGAGTGAATTCAGCTTGGGGTTTTCCATGGGGAATAATCACAGAGAAAATAACCAATATTTATTAATTGGTTTGGTTGCAGTCAGATGGTGGCTGGAGTTGCAGTCATTTGAAGACTGGACTGGCCTGGTCATCCAAGATGGCAGCCTCTTGTGGCTGGCAGTTGTGGTTGGTGGTTGACCAGTATGCCTATATGTGATCTCTCCTCTTGACTTGTACATCTCATAGCACATTGTTTGGGTTCTCAGATGGAACAAATCAAGACTAAGTGATCCAAAGGAAGGAAACAGAAGCTGCCAGGCCAGTTGATGGCTGAACCCAGAATGGACACAACTTCTCTTCTGCCATATTCTACAGGTCTGTGCAGGTCTATTTAATCAAGGAGATTAAATAGACTTCACTTCTTTGGAAAGCAGCAGAAGGTGGGGGACAAAATCACACTGTGGAAGAGCACGTGGGGTGAGAGATATTGCAAATGTCTTTGGAAAGGGGTAAGATCTTCAGACATGGCATCTTTTATTGTCTTCCTCTAAAGGATTCACAAACATTTGTGGTAACCTGCTGTGGGAAGTGCATGAAATTGTGGCCTTTCCTCTCCAACTCTGACAGTCCTGGGGACAGGAGAAAAAGGCATCTGAGTTGACAGAATCATAGAAAGGGTGAATAATGCTTCATTCTCTGGCAAAGCAGGAGTATTAACTATTTTTTTTTAAAAAATACTTTACTAGAGCAACCATGTACATACTAATAATGGAATTTTTAAAAACTTGTATTTTGGAAATGTTCATAATAAAACATCCTGTACTTGAATTATTAAAAACAATGTTGAGTAAAGAATTGCTTAATTTAGTAAATAATTTTAAAGCAAGCCATTATTTTCTCCAAACTTGAATTTGCTGAAAGCACTCCAAGAATTTTATTACCAGCATGACTGCATAATGTAATTGTGTAATTAGTAATACATCTGACACTGTTGGAGAGATTTAGTTTTACTTAGGGCAAGAACAAAATGTAGTACTTGTTATATTTTAAGATGCATGAGGGACACTGTCTTGTAGTTGTTGTTGTTGTTGTTGTTGTGTGTAAATATATTGTATGGCTGAAGTCACAGAGAAAATAACCAATATTTATTGATATTGGGTCTGTGGCTAGAGCATGTGGTTTGAAATTGGACTGACCTACATTTGAGACCTGGTGCTGCCTCTTGCTGCTGTTTGTTTATTTATTAGCAAATTACATAACCCAAATCTCAGATTCTTTATAAAATGAGAATAGTATCTATTTCATGAAGGTTTTCTTCACTCTTAAATGGGATAATTATGTCTGAAAAATTCCTGTTATCACATAACATCACATAATCAGGGCTGGGGTTGTGGCTTAAGTGGTAGAGCGATTGGCTAGCACATGTAAGATACTGGGCTTGATCCTCAACACCACATAAAAATAAATAAGTATTGTGTAAAACAATTATATAATCATGGCAGTGATAACCCACAATATTCAAATTTTGCCCCAATTCAGGATACTATGCAAGGGTGGGGGTCATTGGGATCATTTGGGAATGCTGCCTACCATTTACCTGAAGGCTTGACTGGGTATCCAAGATGGCAGATCCCTGTGGCCAGCAGTTGAGGCTGGGCTAGAAAGCCTAGGATTGTACACCATAGGTAGGGGGTAGTAGGTTAAGTTGGTTTGTCTTCCTGCCTAATTCTGTTTGAGTGTTTGAATTAGTGAGTGGGTGCCTTGGACCATCAGTTTAATGTCCATTTCAGCTGTGTTTACTGGTCACCAGCCAGGTTTGATAAATGAGTTATATTTTCTATTTTTCAGGTAGATACACCAAGGAAAGCATCTTTTCAAGAAATTTACAGCTTACCTGCTTAGAATGCCTAGAATTAAGAATACATCTGACACTGATGAGCTTTTCTTGTACTACTTGGTTTGGAGGTACTTAGGATTAAGTGATTGCTGTAATCTGAGGAGGGGTAACTTGAGCATGATTTGAGAAACTTGTGTCTTGTCAGAGTTTTAGATCACAGTCCCAGTGTAATGGGCAACATTTAAAAATGAACTCCTATCACCCTCTTCCTGGCATAATCTCTTGTATTTGGGCAAAACTTGAATATTGTGGGTTATTACCTCATAATTATGTGATGCCATGTGACAAAAGGAATTTTACAGATGTAATCATTGTTGCTAATTAGTTGATTTCAAGTTAAAGGGTAGACCTCACCCAGCCACAGCAGCTCTTTACATCTGGATCTAGAAGTTAAAGATGGAGGATGTAAATGATTTAAAGCACAAGAAGAATTCAGTTCAAGGAAGATTCACCATTGCTGGCTTCAGAGATGAACGGAGCCACATGGCAAGGACCAGACAGTGCCCCAGACTTAAGTGACCTGTGGTGGGGTCACTCCTATAACCATGAGAACTCATGAATTCTGAGCTTGCCCAACACCTTGATTTCAGCCCTATGAGACCCTGAGCCATATTATGCCCACACAGAAATTAGGTCAAAATTAATAAGCTTATGTTGTTTTAAGCCACCAAGTTTGTGATAATTTGTTACACAGTAATACAAAACTAATATACCCGGTAATTCTCCTAAGACCTTAAGTCAAATTATTTTCTTTCTGTAGTTGTTTATTTGCCTTTGAACAAAAAAGTTTTCTAGTTTAGAATACAGATACTCTTATTAATTATCCATCAAAATCACTTGGATTATGGGGGACAGCTGAAATTGTAGATGGCAGATCACCTGAATCAGGTGAGCTGGGGGTTTGTCCGTACTGTTATCAGGCTTTCAGGTGAATCAAATGTTTATGGTTCAAATCAGTCCATGACCTGGAGTCTCTTTCAGCACTAACAGGTAGAGGTGACAGGGGAGTCCTCTTTTCTTCTAGTCCAAATCATAACCATGTGGCTACAGTCATAAAAATGCCATGTGTAAGGCATTGCATGAGGGCTCTATTTACCTTCTCCTAAGTCTTGTAATGACTTACCACGACCTGGCAGGCAGGCAGTTATTAGCCAAACTTCAGTGCAGTTTGACATTATTACTGTCCATAAGAGGTCAAACAGGAATTTGAGTGCTGGTCTCTGTCATTCCCAGTTGGGACTCTTAACCATTAAGCATAGCACTGCTGTGACACAGAGGAGTGGTCATTTGTGTATCTGCAGCACCAAACACACCATTTGACACTGTAGATTAAAAACAAATGCATATAGGTGATTAATTTCTTCTCTGAGTCCCCAGCCTTCCATCTAGTGCAAAACAGTTTTTATGACGATAGACTGAGCCTTGTCTGTGGCAGGGTTCGCTCCCCACTGCTGCCTTTTTAGTGCCACGTCTGGCCTTATTTCCTTCCTGTATAGTTGTCCCACTTACTGGGATGCACTAACAGCAACATTCTAATACTGTAGGACCCTGCTTCCCTTGCTATAGCTGACGAATCCAGGACAAGACACAGAGACCTGGACACTTGGAATGGGAAGACTCTGATCCCTCAGTCCCCATAATGGCAGTGCTCTGGTAAGAAGGCTCACATGTTCCTTTTTGCAGCACAGGTCCCCAGAGCCCGCCTTGCCTCCCGTCTTCCTGAATATTCTAGGATCTTTCCATTAAGTTTCCTTTGTGACTTAAGCCAGCCAAAGTTGGATTCTATTGCTTGTAATAACAAACAAACAAACAAACAAACAAACAAACAAACAAACAAACAAAACCTCAGCTCATAGAGGAGTAGAGACTTACAGGGCTGGAAGGGCCCCGAAATGTCAGCTGCTGCTGCAAGACAGGGTGCCCTCTTCCCTTCAAGGACCCTTCAGGCCTGTCAGATGGGCTTATTTTCCTGGACTCACTCATGCCCTACTGCTTCCCCCCCACTTCTTCTCTAAACCAGGACTCAGCTTTGAGGATGCTCTACAAGCCTCGTCTACTACGCGAAAGACTTAAACATTTGTCCCCTAAATATTTAAAATGCCTTTCCTCAACTCCACTCCTCCTTATTTTTCTCCACCTTTAATGTTCACTTGTTAAAACACAAAGGTGTTCTTAGAGTAAGACAAATCTCTTTTCTGTCTGAATTGTTGCTAAGGCCAACTTAGTGACAATGTAATAGCTGACATTTTTGTGCTAACACTTAGAAGCCAACTTACTAATATATGCTCACTGCTCCATGAAGTTTGACTTGTTAATTTCATCCTCTGAAAATTCATCCAGGTGTTCTTGCTAGGACGCCTTGTTTCACAGATGAAAACAATGAGGGTTCAAAAGGTTCTAAATGCATGGGGTTATTTTCCAGAGCAGTCTGTGTTCAAGCAGCAATGGCAGGAATAAATTGTGAAACATCTCTAGTCTCTCCTTCCACCACCATCTCTCTACCATTTATTTTGATTTTTTTTAAAACATACAGCATGTTACCATGCTGAAGGAGCCCAACCAATCCAGGGTTCAGAGTGATATAAGTGCCCCAAGAAAGACACAGGGAGAGCATGCATTGGGGTGGGGTGAAGAATTAGGGAAGACACTCTTGAATTGTGGTATCTGAGAGGTGCAGTACATAACATTTTCTAAGGAAGCCTGCAACAATATTGCCCCTTCCATATGGTTTTCTAGAATTAAAAAAAAAATCATTTCTAGAATTTTTTTTTCTTTGCACCAGGGATTGAACCCAGGGGTGCTTAACTACTGAGTCACATCCCAGATTGATTTTTATTTTTATTTTGAGACAGGGTCTCGCTAAGTTGCTTAGGGCCTCACTAACTTGCTGAGGCTGGCTTTGAACTCATGATCCTCCTGCCTCAGCCTCCTGAGTCACTAGGATTACAGGCATATGCCACTGCACCTGGCTTTTCTAGAATCTTTAATCGCATCAGGTGGCGACATCCATGTCCCCTCCCTTTGAAACCGGGAGGATCTTTATGACTGCCTGGGTACAGAGGAAACAATGTGACTTCTAAGGCTAAGTCATAAAAATGCCAGCTACGTCTTTTTCCTGAAACTTCCACTCTGGCAACACAGTTACTATGCTCAGGGAGCCCAATCAATCCACAAAGGGAACTGAGACCCACATCCCTGGATGAGCTCCCAGCCAACAGCCGCCTCCAATTTTTTAGCAACCTAAGTGAGCTATTGTGAAAGTAGATCCTCTCATTGTCCCCAAATGGGCTACCACAGTTGATGCCACATGGGAAGGAGAGGACCCATTCCTCATAAGTCTAGCTTAAATTATAGATTCATGAGTAAAATAAACAACTGCTGTTGTTTTAGACCACCAAGTTTGGGGTATTTTGTTGGTCAGCAGTAGATTAATGATAGAAAAGACTCTGAAAGGTGGGTATCTTTCCAAAAACGTTTCTGAAGTTCCTAGGCTTATTGACAGCCAGTAGTAATAGTAGTAGAAATAAAAAATAAATATAATAATAATATCATTCTTAGTAACTGTAGCAGTGGCTAAATTTTACTGTGTGTGTGTGTGCGTGTGTGTGTGTGTGTGTGTGTGTGTGTGTGGGTGTATGCTATGCCCATGCTAAGTGATCTGACAGATGATTTAATGAGATAGGTACACTTACCCTCATTTTACAGATGAGGAAACTGGGGCTTAGAGAATATGAGTTTTCCTTAGGGTTATTCAGTTTCTAACAGGTGGTATTTCTTCTTGCTCCCAAACTCTCTTTTATTATATTCCCAGGTTCTAACGTTTCCTTCCCGCCTGCCCAAATTCCACAAGAAGATGAATTCTTCCATCCATGCAGGATTATCCAGCCCTTTTAAGGAAATCATGGCTTTTCATCAGATTCCCACTAATGTGAGAATGACTGGCAGCTAGACAGATGCATTCTTTCACCAATCTGTTTACATTTTCAAGGTGGAAACCCACTAATCAAAATGAAGAACTCTTCTGTAGAGCATTTAGATAGTGCCACCTAGAGGCAGAGGACCTCTTCCTGGCTCTTGCCAAGGCCTCTTAGACAAAGGCGAAGACCTCACTGACATGGTCCTGAGGACTCGCAGTTTGCAAAGCAGGCTGATGCACATCACCCCCTCTAATCTCTTTGTCACAACTTGTGTGGCAAGTGAGTACTGCTATCACCCTTATTTCACCTATGAGGAAACCACAGCTCAGAGAAGTTCATGGCTTGTGAAGATCACACAGATTCAGAATCAAGACTCGAATGTGGGTCTTTTAGCTTCAAAAGCAGGGTCCAGAACGCCACGTGAAACTTGCTGTGTCCCCCACACTACATGAATGGTTCAGGAGGGTGGATAATAAAAGATAGCATCTGACAGAAGGAAAGCAGTGATCTGAACACCTAAGGGGAGTCCTAAATAGTGGAGAGAAGAAAGCAAAACATTAAAACCCCATGGGTAGGAAAGAAAAGAAAAGGAAGAAGGAAAAGAAATAGAGCCATTTGGAAGTGCTCATTGAGTTGATGCACTGGGTAATTTAATAAGCCGTCTGTTCTGATCGCCTTGCTTCCCTGCTCTCAGCAGGGTGCCGTATGGAAACTTCTACACAGTAATTATAAAGGATGATCTTTCCCTCTGCCTGGGATCTTTATGGTGTGATTTGGGCAGCTCAGCTTCTAAGCTGTTTTCCTTGGGAGGCAGAGTTTGGAATGGTTGTGAGAGAGTACGGGGGAACTCTGTGTGTGTGTGTGTGTGTGTGTGTGTGTGTGTGTGTGTGTGTAGTGCAGGGGTAAAGGAGGCTAAGATTGTTCCTTAGAATCTCTTTGTCATGTTTCTACCTTTCCCCCCTGATGCTTCCTGGGATCTGGGCACTCGGATAACCATCCTTCCTTTTTACCTGATCACATCTTACTCAGTCTGTGGCCTGAGGCCTCGGCTCCCTGCTCAGTGTTAATAAATTCATCAGACAAATAAATCCTTCCTTAGCTAATACGGTTCTCACTCGGTTAAGAAAGCTCATCCATTCAACAAATAATTATTGCAAACCTGTAAGTTCCAGGCATTGTTTTTAAGAAGGCTGATGCTTCTGTGAAATTATTTTACTTGAGGAGGTTGATGGGAAGCAAGAAAACAAATACGAATTTCAGAGCTGGGTAATTGGGATGAATAGTGTGATGACATGTGTTTTGTTTGGATCATCAGGGATCATCAGGCGGCATTTGAG